CGAGTAGTCATTTTCATGAGCCTTACTTGAAGTAATTTAACAATTTTTAATTTTTTTAACAACCCTTAGCAAAAACATTTTTTTTTAATATAGTTATAATTATAAGATTGTTGTAAAATTGCACTATAATTTTTTTTTTAAAAGTAATATAAATTTGTGGATCTTTGGCGTTTAGAACTGAAAAATTGATTAATTTTTGACAAAGTTATGAATGTTCGAACACAAAAGTGGTTTCAATCGAAACCGCTGGGCCTTAAAGGGTTAAAGAATTTAATTATTGTTTTTGAGAATAGTTTTTTTCATTCTATTAGCGAATTTAAAGTAGTAGAAATTATAAAAAAAGAACAGAAATAGTAGCTTTTAGTGGTTGAAATCTAAAAAAGTACCTAATTAGTAGCATAAGGGAAAAAAGTAGTTAATAGTAGGTTTTAGTAGATGAGTGCGAAGGTTTTTTTTGTTTTGACTATTTGAAAATAGGAGGATTTTGATTGCATAATGTTTCCAAAATATGACGTTCCATTTGAGTGATAATTCGAAAAATTTATACTACGCGATGCTTTATTGCTCAACGTTTTTTGTCTTTTCTGTCTGGTTTGAACGATGAATATTACTGACACACAAGTTTTATTTGTGTTTCGTGAAATGAGTACACAAACTGTGTGTCACTGTTTAAGGCTCTGATAAAACGAAGATGCTGAATATCACTGCGACCAATGAAATATGCGTTGTTACAGATTGTGAGATTATCGTTTACATATTATTTGTTATATATGATAGGATATGATTTAAACCTATTTTATAAATGGAATAAAAAGAACAAATTCTTTGTTGTCTCTAGGGCATTATTCTGAATTAAATTAATACCCACACTGGATAAAAAATATCAATTTGACCAAAAGTTGTGACATTTCTTCAAACCATTCAAAAACCAAAAAAATTTATTTATTTTTTAGCAGAATAATGAGAAAATATCTATTATTAATTTTTTAAATATACATTTTGATAATAAAATTAAAAATAATAAATCTGGTTTGTTACCTACATCGAAATCATATTTTTGAATTTCCAAAACGTTTTAAGTTTCGTTTGAAGTGCATTGTTAAAAGAATAATGAATTCATGTTTAACTTTTCACAAATAATAAAATAACTTCTGTATCTGGTTATGTATTTATTTATATCTTCTGTATCTATTTAAAAACAATCACTCTCGTAAACAATTGACAATGTAAAGCACTTTTAAAATGATTATTTCTTCTATAAAACTAAATCATAGGGGAACATAGTCGAGGTCGGCCACCTTTTTGACTTTTGTTTATAACTTTTTTTAAAAAATGAATTTGGACAATTGAAGTATATGGTTAGAAAGTCCTGTTTAATAGGAACATCTTTTCTGTACAAAGTAAATTGATTGGTTTTAAAATGAAAAAGTTATAAAGATTAAAAAAAAAATTTGTAGTCGAGGTTGGTCCTTACAGTCAAGGTCGGCCATGTTTAAAATTCAAAGGGCATTAATCGTTAAAAAATAAAATAACATGTTTGGAGTTACGGAAAATTGATTCTTTATTGTTTACAGTTTGTAACTTAATGAAATAACAAAATAATAAAAATAAACAATATAAAAAATAAATATAAATAAAAAAAAATTTTGCACTAAAATATTAATAAAATTGAATACAAATATTAATAAGATGATCAATTATATTATGAGTTATACAGAATTGCAGTTTTTGCAAATAAAGTAGCTCGTCCTCATCTTTGCGCATTTTAAACACATAGTGGCCGACCTTGACAGTAAGTAACATTACCGAATTGTTGTAACCATAATGAAATACGTTTCGGGATTCGATTTTTTACTTTGTTTTTCTTTCAACCATGAGTCCCACAAATTTTCTGCATACTTGCCTTGACGATTCAATTTGTTTTTTATCTTTTATTAATGGTTTTTCACATTATGCACAAAACTTTTTTTGAGCTTTTTTTGTACCGACGTCACAGAAAACACAATTTTCGATCCTCCGAAAATGTAATTGAACAAAAAGTTAGGTTTTACTAAGACAAGCTTCGACAAGCATGCGCGTAGGTGGCGCTAGTGAACTTGACAAAAAAACGCGAATGGCCTACCTAGACAGTGGTCCAACCTCGACTATACTCCCCTATTATTTACTATAATAGTTTAGAAATATATCTTTACGATGATAAAAAATTTTTGTTTTAAAAATTGTAAAATGTATAAAAAATTAAATTTGAAAAATAAACTTTTGAACATCTTGAAACACGTTATCTTAGATTTTATAATGAAACTTATGTCGAAGTGAAGTTTATTTATTCTATTTTTTATTCCTAGAAAGATTATGATAACAATTCAGGGGACTTTAAGAAGTAAAATGGATTTTACTAGCATTTCAAAGATTAATCCGTGTAGAAATTTGGCCATGGCACAGATCGGGCTTTCCTATTAGGTTTTAGAACACATGCTATGCACAAACTGTGACGGTCATAAAACGTGTTTTATTCACTTTTCATCTAAAAATCAGTATAAAAAAGGGTTGCCACAGGTCAGGGAAAAGTCAGGAAAATTAGAATTGGTCAGGGAAATCAGGGAAAATTCTGAAATTTTTATTAAAAGTACTGGAAAAAATTAAATTTTTAGAATTTAAAAGAAAAATTCTGAATTGAAGAGTCTTTTTTGTTTGCCTCATAAACTATATGAAATTTCCAAGAATTCTAATAAAAAATCTTCAACTTTTTATATTTCTAACAATAATTTCTTTTTAAATAACTTAATTTTTGAAGAACTCTCATAAAAATTATTACTTAGAAATTATTTAATGAATAATTTTACTTAAAAATTTAAAAATTTAAATGTATTTAAAAAGATTTCAAAAGAGTTGCGTTTACAATCTTCGTATAAATAGATGAACTTCAAAGGTTTCAATTTGAAATTTGAGAAAATATCCATTTTTAATGAATTTAAATAGAAATTTTAAGAACAACTGATTACAGAAATTCAATTATTTTCTAAAGTGATAAACTTCTTCGCATAAATTCAATTATGTTCAAAATTTTTTTAAAAATTCTCGTCAAAATTTAAATTATTTTTAAAAAAAGTTCCAAAAGAATTTAATTATTTAAAAAAAATTTAATAAAAATTTGACAGGAATTCAATTACTACTGACCAATTTTTTATTCTTCAAACTTTAATTTTTTTAAAAAGTTTCTCTAAAGAATTCAAATATGTTCAAATAATTGAAAAAAACAGTTCTGAGAAATTCAATTATTTCCAAAAATTTAAGTAAAATTCTATTATTTAAAAAAATTTTGTCAAAATTCTTTACAAGATTTAGTTAATAAAATTTTAATTTTAATAAAATTTTCATATACAATTCAATTATATTCAATACAATTCTTCTTAAGAATTCAATTATTTCACAAATACCTCCGTTTTTTATGGTAATTCTATTATTTAAAAAAATTCAAATAAAATTCATTCCTAGAATTCAATATATCTTTTCAAAAATGAAATTTTTCTCAAGAATTCAAATTCTTTTCAAAAATAAAAATTTTCAAAGAAATTCAATTATTTAAAAAAAAATTAATCAAATTCTTCGTCAGATTTCAATTATTTTCACAAATAATACATTTTTGAAGGGAATTCAATTATTTAAAAAAATTCGAATAAAATTCTTCCCAAGAATTCAATAATTCTTTTCAAAAATGAAATTCTTCCCAAGAATTCAAATTCTTTTCAAAAATAAAAATTTACACAGGAATTCAATTATTTAAAAAAAATTATTTAATAAAATTCTTTGTCAGATTTCAATTATTTTCAATTTTTTAATGAAATTTCTCGATAGAATGTAATTATTTTCAAAAAGTCTTAAAAAATTCTGAGAAATTTAATTACTTAAAAAAATTTGAATAAAATTTTTCTTAAAAAACTAATTATTTTCATAAATAATAATGTTTTTCTCCTGAATTCAATTATTTTCGGTAATAAAATTCTTCAGAAGAATTCAATTCTTTAAAAGATTTTTTAATAAACTTTGTTGCAAGAATTTAATTATTTTCATTAATAACAAAACTTATCGCAGAATTCCAATTATTTTTTATACAATTTTAAACAAAATGATAGAAAATTGCATTTATTCTTAAAATTTTTTTTTAAATTCGCCGAAAGAATTTAATTATTTTTAAAAATTTTGATAAAATTCTTCATAAAAATTCAATTTATTAAAAAATAAATTTTAATAAAAATTTTAAATTATAATTGAATATTTTAAGCATTAAAATAAAAATTAAAAGCATTAAAATTAAAATCTTTAAAAATATGAATTTATAGTTAAAATATTCTTGATATAAAAAATGATTTCATCACTCTGTCATCTTAAATTTATTATAAATTGTTGAATTTCAAAAAGATTTGAATTTAAATGTTTTGAAAATCTTAATTTCTATAGTAAAATAATAATGATTAAATATTCATTTAAAAAAGAAGTTGTGGATGTTTTCGAATAATTTTACAATTAAAGAAATTCGTAAATAAATGCAATAGAACATTTTTTTGAGTATCTAATAATTTTTTGAGTGAATCAGAATATTCTTTAGTGTCAGGGAAAAAGTCAAAATTTTGACTCGAAGTCAGAGAAGAACAAAATTAAATGTTTGTAGCAACCCTGAGAATATTTAATATGAAATTTTTAATTTATTTGTACATTATTGTAAATTATTAAAATTAAAAAAAAACTTTTTTAGAACATGTGAAAATAATTAATGAGTATAAGTGAAATATATATTATTTTATATATAACAGTGAATATATAGTATAGTTCAAAAAAATATTTTATACAAATAAATAAGTATTAATTTAAGAAATTTATATAAAATAACTCATTTATTGCCAAGACACCATAATTTTATTGATTACATATGTTAAAGGCGATAAGATTAGATGAGATTGTACTTTTTATCTGTACTGTTCAGTATCGTTTATATAAGCAAGCTAATTTTTCATTTTGAGCTTAAAACTGTCAACTCAAGTTACTCCGTAAATGTGACTATAGATATCTTAGTTCACTTGTGTAGTAGTTAGATAAATCATTATACCTGGATTTTTAATAAATTGAATAAGATTTTTCTTTTCATAAATTTTTTCATCAGTGTATTGTGAAAAAAATGTTTGGATTTTTTTTTCGGTTAGCTCTGCTTTTAGCTGTGTCACAAGCTGAGGTTACGACTCCAAAAGTAGAGCCGCAAATTAATTATCGTCTTCCCAGCAGTATAATTCCAATAGATTATGAAATTAAACTGACACCTACACTTCATAGACCATTTATATTTAAAGGAGAATGTATTATAAATGCAGAAGTAATAACTGATGATACAAATAATATAACTTTGCATTCAAGAGATCTTGATTATGATCTATACGAAGTAAAGCGGGACGTTGGCAATGGGACGTTCACTTCACTTACAGATATCTCACTGAATACAGATCAAGAAACAGAAGAAGAAAAGAAAACAGATTTTCTAATTTTTAAAATGAAAGAAACCCTAAAGAAAGGAAAAATTAGAATTACTCTTCATTATAGCGGAGTATTAAATGAAAATTTACGTGGATTTTATAGAAGTTCCTACATTAATAAAGATAATAAAGAAAAAAGGTACGTTCATTATTTAGCTAAAATTTTGGATACTATCCCAGATTTTCATTAAAATTTATTTATTTATAATGAATAGAAGACTTTATGTCACTGTAAAAATAAAGTCTTAAAGTACTTACAGCTTAAACGTTTCTCTTTTCTTAAATTCAACTAATTTTTGGGCCTAAAATAAAAGTAAGACAATTTTGTGTCTTGAAATCAGTTTCATAATCTAAAATTTGGACAAATGTAAGTTTTTTTAATCAAAATCAAGCTTAGAACAAGATAGGTACTTACTTTTTACAGGGTACTTCAAAATTTCAAGTAAAAAGTTCTCATATAAATGTTTAACTTTGTAATCAGAGATCGTATCACTTACTAATTTTTTTCCTACAATAAAATATAGAAATTTTTTTATTCTCAACCAGATACATGGATATCACAGCCATATTATATTGAAAAATACGGGATATCCATAGTTAAGGTTGCTGCATCCATATTCTATGGCTGGCTGTATATTGTTGGAGCAGCAAAAGATCTATGGTTGGGTGATCCATAGTAATGGAAATGGGAAACAAAAGAATTAGAATCACTCAATTAATTAAATTCCATGTCACTTGAGATATTTTATACACATTTTTGTTAATTGATACACACCACTTATTGAATAACCGCATATTAACGACATAAATTATTAACCCGATGGGGGGAGACACGAACCCTAGACCTAACGCATACTAAACACTAACGCTATCTACTACACTATACACACAACTACAATATCTGAGCATATAATATTCCTTATATACTCTACACATATTTCATGAAAATGAATTTACATAAAAACTAATAGACAATAACGATAATAAATAATAAACAATTATAACACTATTTATACACAATAAACTCACAACGCGATTATATAGACGTGACAGGAAACCGACGCGACGGACAAATTAAGACGATTATTTTTAAATGGATGCCATGATAATGAATTGCGCGCAACATGTATCGAAATTTTGAACTAACTATGGATCTCTTAACCAAAGTTTATATGGATGAGGCAGCCATATGTGAAAATCCATAGCATGAATTGTAAGCCCAACCATGCCTATGGATGTCACATCCATATTTGATTCAACAATATAATATGGCTCCCTCATCCATTGAATATGGAATGTGCTTCCATTCTGAAAGTTGTCTCTTCCATTGAATTGGATAACACAACAATATTCTGCTCAACAATATTTTCATGGATATCTCTTCCAGACCTTTTCTTTCCGTGTATTATTAAAATTATAAAATAATTCAGTAGTAATTGAGCCCCTGAATTCTATAACTGCCGCTGCGCGCGGTCTGAAAGAAATAATACCAGTCAGGTAGCATTGAACATCTCAGAGACACTCACTGCTACGTGACTGGTATTATCCCTTCCGGACCACGCGCGCGCAGCTGATATTATAGAATCCAAGGGCTCAATTCATATTTTTGATACGAATTAAAACTTTATTTAAAACTTAAGTTTTTTGTCACTGATGATAAATTTAATGTTGTATTATTCGATTTTAAAATGCAAAAAGGAAAATAATAGCTAAAGTTTAATAAATTAATTTTTTTCCTTAACATGAATAACGTTCAGTGCTTTTATCATCTGTCTTGATTATTATGTACTCAAATCTTTTTAACATAATCTTAAAAGAATGTTTTAATCGTATTTAAATTTATTTTTTACTGTTTAATTTTATATATTGAGGTATTAAATAAAAAAATTTAAATTAGTCCAGAGATACCTCCAGATTGTCCAATATTTTGGATGTCCTATAGTTATTGCCAGGATATTAAAAGTCCTAGGAATATTCTCAGGATCTATATCTATATTTTACTTTCCTGACTTTTTCCCAATTTTCATCAAAAATATTTACTTTTTTCTTGAATTCCTACCACGAATTTTATTATTCATCAAAGAATTTAAATGTTTATAAAAATAATTTAATTCTTGCAAAGAATTTTATCAAGATTTTTAAATAATACAGGTCAACAAAAAAGGCTTACTTTTTTATGAGATATCCGAAAATTGCCCATCATCATATCAAGATTTTTAAATAATACAGGTCAACAAAAAAAGGCTTACTTTTTTATGAGATATCCGAAAATTGCCCATCATGTCAGGATTTTGAGAAAAGTGGGGGTAATGACCCAAAAAACGCTTTTTTAAAGTTTTTGCAACATTTTTTTCTCTTTAACCTGACGTGTTAGAGACTTCCACAAGGTCTTAAATTAAAGCTTGTAATGTACACTACAAGACCCATATCTATAAAATAAAAAAAAATTAAATTTTTTTTCAAAAAATGGGGTTGAAGGCACCAAAATTGTGTGTTTTTTAATTGCTTTAATAGACGTCTTGCAAATGCTTGGATTTGCTTCAAAATGGTTTTTGGTGTCGCTTATTACGAATTCGATATTAGTTTTCAAAAATTAAAAATGTCGCAACCAAGATAACAGATGTAAAAAATTAAGAATTGCTTGGATTCGCTTGAAAATGGTTACTCCGGGGTTTTTAGGGTCGCTGATTATAAATTCGGTATTTGAATTTTTGAAAACAAATATCGGATTCATAAAATATGCGACCCCAAAAACCCCGAGTAACCATTTTTAAGCGAATCTAAGCAATTGAAAGAAGTCTATTGAAGCAATAAAAAAAACACATTTTTGGTGTCTTCAACCCCATTTTTTGAAAAAAAATTTTATTTTTTTGTTTTATAAATATGTGTGTTGTATTGCACATTACAAACTTTAATTTAAGATCTTGTGGAAGTCTCTAACACGTCAGATTAAAGAGAAAAAATGTTGAAAACTCTCAAAAAAGCGGTTTTGGGGTCATTACCCCCCACTTTTCTCAAAATCCTGACGTGATGGGCAATTTTAGAAGTCGGGATCGTGTTCAGCGTCCAAAAATACATCAGAAACCATTCGGATATCTCATAAAAAAGTAAGCCTTCTTTTCTTGACCTGTATTATTCATTTATTTCTTTCGACTATTTTTATGCAAATTGTAATTTAAATAATGAAATTTGGATTTTGTTTGGAAATTTTATGAAAATAAAATTATAATTTTAGTTTATATTTATGTAAATCTTGAAGGGTCTTAATTGTTACCAGAGGCATATCTTTAATTTTGCTTGTGGTGTCCAGACTCTCCAGTTACTCCTTCTAAGGTTAAAAATCATTGAAATTCTTCGATGAGTTTTATTATTTATGAAAATGATTGAATTTTTGCTTAGAATTTGTTCAAAATTTTTTTAGAAATAATTGAATGTCCAAGAAAAATTTTATTATTAGTGAAAGTAATTGAATTATTGTAAGAAATTCTATAAAAATTTTGTTAAACTTTTTTTAGAATTTTTTTTTGAAAAATGCTGTTCTAACATAATTAAATTTTGGATGAATTTTATCAATTTTTTAAAAATAATTAAATTCTTTTGCGAAGTTTTGTGAAAATACTTTAATTAAAATCAATCAATTTTTTTTCATATAATTGTCTGATTGTAAAATTTCCTTTGAAGCAATCAAAAGTTAAAAATTTAATTGATTTGGAGATAGGCCAATTGAAATTAACTCTGATCTTGAATTTTAAGACCAAATTGTGGATTTTTATCTTTATTATAGTAATACATGATAAGTAGAATAATTAATGGAATTTAATATATTATATTTATAGGTGGTTAGCTACAACTCACTTTGAGGCAACTAGTGCACGTCTAGCGTTTCCCTGTTTCGATGAACCTGCTTTAAAAGCTGAATTTTTGATCAAAATTGATTTAAGTCAATTAAAGGAGCCAAAAGTTTACAAAGCTATTTCTAATATGCCAAAAAAGTCAAATAGTGCTGAACCTCTTTACGAGTTTGAGAAGACACCAAAAATGTCTACATACTTGGTAGCATTTGTCATTTCTGATTTTGAGTATAAAACTGACAGCCCTATTACTGTATGGTCGCAGCCAGCTTTGATTGACAAGGCACAATATCCACTTACCATGGGTAAAAAAATTCTAAAAGAAATGGCAGAATATACTGGTGTTGTGTATCAACTGCCAAAAATGGACCAGATTGGAATTCCAGACTTTGCAGCTGGAGCTATGGAAAACTGGGGTCTGGTAACATATAGGTAAACAGAATAATCTAACATTAATAGTTATTAATGTTAATAATAATATTAATATTTTTAACATATCTAACATTCGTACAGAATATATTAGGTATAAAATTAACTATTTTTCAAATAAACATTTTTTTCAAATAAAAAATGAAAGTATATAAATTGCAATTTTTTATTTGAAAAATAGTTAGTTTCATACTTAATAATAAAAAAATAATTTAAAACAAATTTGTCATAGGGTGAGTGCACCAATGGTAGATCAATTAACCCCTTCACAGTCGAGTGAAAATAAAGTTTTTGTGCCATAAGTGTTCAAAAAAAATTTTTTTTTTAAAATCATGATATTGGCATTTTAAGGTATTTTTAGACAGATTCGTTAACTTAAAAATTTTTTTTGGGCGCCATTTTGAAGCCGCCATTTTGAATTTTGAATTTTCGACAACGGATTTGGATTCAGCGACCCCGAAAACCCCCGAGTAAGGATTTTTAGCCATATTCGTTAACTTTTAAATGTCTTTTTTTTCGATGGCCCTATAGAGCCCATGGACATACAGGGCACGACATTTTTATGGCTCTATAGAGCCCACTGACAGTGAAGGGGTTAAGCGCCTTAAGTTTCTGATTATGACTTTCAAGTCTTATTAATTGTTTTTAGTCAAATTTCAAGTCTATTCTTTATAGCAGTATGACTAAGAAGGTTCCAATAGATACTTTCTTTAAGGATAGACTTAATTTTGACACCTACGTTTACTTCCATACACCATCAAAGATAATTTGTCAATGATCCAATTGTGGATCATTTCTTTTCTGTCACTACAATAGTACTTGATGAACTCATTGTTTATTTTAAAATAAACATTTTTTTGACATTTTATATGTCATTTTGAATTTTTGAAAACTTACTTCGAATTGGTCATCTGCGACATGAAATCTTCCGAGTAACAAAGTTCATTAAAGTCTATTAATTTCTTATATTTAATGTCTAACACAGTAGGTCCACTATTTTAAAGGTTTGAAAACTGATTTCTGATTCGTAATCAAGAAAAACTTCGAATACCACGTTTTATTTAGTGAAATATTACAATTTTCTTTTAAAATGACTAAATCAAAAATTTAGTAAAAAATATTTTTAACTAAATACTACGAGGCGTTATTGGTAGTGATATTTAACACTGTTTTTATGCTTAAAGGCAACATTCATTAGTTCTGAATGAGACGACATCAACTGTTATTAAAAAGCAAGGTGTGGCTGGTATTATAGCTCATGAATTTGCTCATCAATGGTTTGGAAATCATGTTGGACCAGCTTGGTGGGAATTTATATGGCTAAACGAAGGATTCGCTACATTTTTCCAGTATTTCATAACTGATAAAGTGAGTTCCATGTTGAAATTCTGTTTGTAAGAAAAAATGGAAGGCTTAAAAACATTTAGTAACTAGACGATAGAGGGAATAAAATCATGTATTTGTCTGACCGTATGAAAATGGCAACCATTATTCCCCATGGGCAAAAATGAACGCCATCTTCATACAAGTCATTTGGTTAGTTTACCTCTTTAATTGTATGCATTTCTTCTTTTAGTTATAGCAAGTTGTATTTTTAGATAAATAGTTCTAAGATCTCCTGAAACTATATGAACAATTTAATTACGTTAACAATTTTTCCAGGTTGAAAACTTTGATATGAAAAATCAATTTGTAATAAGTAGACTTCAAGCTGAAGCTTTTGTATTTGATGTGACAAACAAATCTCATCCGATGAATGTAAAAGTTAATAGCCCTAAAGAAATTTCTAATGTTTTTGATAAAATTTCTTATGCCAAATGTAGGTATACGATTGTCCAAAAATCAATAAAATTATGACACCTTCAAATTTTATTTTCCTTGGTGCTAATTTATTTTTTTATCACATACATTACCAAAAGATAATAAAAACTTATTTGATCATCTTTTTAAAACAAATGATTTAATCTAAAAATTTTGTAATTTTCAGCTGCTTGCGTTATTCGAATGATGCAACACTTTTTAACTGAAAAAAATTTCAAGGCAGGATTAAAAAATTATCTTGATACTAAGTAAGTAATAAACATAATTATACACCTTTAATTGATATTTTGTAATACTAACAACATTTTACAAATTACTAAGTATTTGTTTCATTTACTTGTAAAGTGTTGTTAATAACAGTATATTAAACAACAAGAGATATTAATTTAATTTATAACTTTTAAACTAAAAGCAAAAAAATTTCAATTTGGTGGGTGCTTTCATTCCAAAAAAACAAATAATTTTTTTAAATATGTGTCAACTCTCAACATTCTAGATATATATACAATTCTTCCTTAATACTTTCGCTAATAAATTGTATAATTGTATAATTTTCATTATTTTTCTCGAAAGCAAAAACGGGTATGCAACTTCCGACATCCTTTTTAAAAGTCTAAATGATGCTTGGGCAGAAAAAAATCAAGATTTGAAAAAAATTATGGATACCTGGGTGACCCAGTCTGGATATCCAGTAATTACTGTGACTAGAGATTATGCAAAGAAGTCAGCCAAAATTACCCAACAAGAATTCTTTGCAAAAAAAACGACAACAAAAAGTGAGAAAAAGTGGACGATTCCAATTAATTTTGTTTCACAAACAGACCTGGATAATAAAAATATTAATACAGAAGCAACTAATTGGTTTAAATCCGAAGACGATCAATTAGACATTGATTTAAAGACAAACAAAGAACACTTGGTTATTTTTAATAAACAACAAACTGGTAAGTTCTTTTTAAATAAATGAGTTTTTCCAGCTCACAATTTCTAAACTAATATAGTTTGGCTTTTAACAATAAAAGAAAAACCAAAAATCTAAACCTATTTTAGGAAGTTGCAATTATCTCCTTAAATAAAATCAACAAAATGGTTCCCTTTTAAGCGGACGTACACATATAATAAAATTAAAGATTAAAATTAAACTTAAGAAACAATTTTTCAACAGGTTACTATCGAGTTAATTACGATAAAACAAACTGGAATCTCATTATTAAATATTTATCCGAATCAAAAAATAATACAGAAAAAATTCACAAATTGAATAGAGCACAACTTGTTGACGATGCTTGGAATCTTGCTAAAGCTGGTCTTTTAGGATACGATGTTGCTTTGGATTTAACAAATTATTTGACTTTAGAAACTGATTACTTTCCATGGTATTCTGCAATTAGACACTTAAACTTCTTGAGAAATCAACTCCTGCATACTCAGAACTACGATAAGTTTAAAGTAAGAATTATTTTTAAAGTATACATCCAGAAATTTTGCTTTCATAACTTAATTCGAACAGAAGCTAAAAATTTTAGGGTTTGGAAAATTTGTCAAAATAAATTATTAATTAAATTAAAAAAAATAGTATACTATTCTATAGTATTCTAAATAGTATTCTAAAGAAGACATAATTTCAGTAGAACTTTTGAAGAATATAGGGTAGATGTACCACTTTTGGCCACTGCTCCAGTTTTGGTCATTTTTATAAAATTTTTATTTAATTATTTATTATTAATGATATTTCTCATTATAATATTATAGTACTACAGGATTTTATGTATTTCCTTAAGTAAAATACTTCATTAAACTTAAATAAAAAAAATTACAATAAATATGAACTAGTGGCCAAAACTGGCGTTAAAGTGGCCAAAACTGGTGCTTCTACCCTACACTGAAAACTAAATTATCCGAACTAATTCATCAGAACCTGGATCGGATAATAGAAATTGTAATTATTTTCGTCTATATTTATAGATAAATTATTATTTGAAATTATTTTTTACTATTAAATTTCATTTATTTCTGCTTTTTGGTATTTAAATTAAAAATCAGTAGTTAGACAATAATATTTCTTTATTTTTATGAGATTTCTATACCAATAGATGTAAAAATTGAAAGTTTGTGTTTAAGATGACGAAAAATTTCGGATAATGAAAGTTCCGATAAAATAATTTAGAGTTTTTTTTTTCTTTTCAATATGTATTCTGAACGATATTTTATACAAAATAATAGTATATATTTAAAGTAAAAGATATCTAAAAAATAATTAAAAGAACATAAATTTGTGTAAAATAAAAAATGATTTTATGTAGGAATTTGGATTAAAAATTTCTCAAAAACTCATCGAAAATGTTGGATTTGAAGAGACGGGAGACAAAGATCATATACAAACACTGAAAAGACGTTTAGCTCTCAGTTGGGTCTGCAGCTTAGGTTACGAAAGTTGCAATAAATTGGAGAAGAAATTTGTATCATGGATTGAAAAGAAGGAAAGGTAAAGTTTACATTTTGTTCAATATTCCTAATTTAGGTTTCTATTCTTTTTATATTATTTCGGAACATAATGAAACTAAAAAATTGTCCTAATTTAACTATAAATATATAACAAAGCCCTACAAAAAATGATCCAGCACAGCAGGTCAGAATACTCAATCAGACTATATTTCGGGGAGCAGAATACGAATCTGAGATCAGATTTGATTTATCACGTCACCATTTTTTTCTAACTACAAGAAAATGTTAGAATTTATAATTATGAATGTAAAGTTAGATTTCCAATATTCAAAATGGCAGACCCAATATGACGGAAATATTTTTGACATTCTTTCGGATTTTTATGTAATTCTGATATTATGAAGCAAATCTAAAATCAAATTCGTGTTCAGCGGTCCAAAATACATGAGTGTAGGGAATTCTGGTCTGACGTGCAGGATGTATTTCTTTTTAGGACTTTATAATTTATTTAATATAATAATTATCTTTGCATGTTATGTCTTAATAAAATACTTCGTCATAGCATCTGTTTGATTTATTAAAAATAATAATTTATTATTTTCCAAAAATCAACTTTCATTTTATGCAAATTAAATAATTATTAAAAGCAAATAAAAATTGTTGAATACAAATATTTTATCAGATAAATATAATTATTCTCTGTCTAAAAAATTTAATTTAATTTCAATATTTTTTAGTATTCCTGAAAACTTGAAGAGTCTTGTATATTGTGAGGGTTTAAAACAAGCAAATAAAACAATTTGGGATAAAGTTTATGAAGAATATAGAACAATTGAAGACCATTCGCAGAAAGAGGAGATTTTCAAGTCTCTAAGTTGTTCCAGAAATAAAGCTATTTTATATGATTATTTACAATTGGCTTTAAAAAATAATGAAAAATATCAAAATTTCTCAGATGTTATTCAATCTGTATACAATGGCAATGAAATTGGCTTGAATGTTTCTTTAGAATTTATTTCTCGCAACGTTATAAGTATTTCCAAACTGTAAGTTTTAAAAACAAAATTAACATTTCTTTGTAAGTTGAAATTTTTAGTTTTTCAAATTTCGTTTAACCATATTTTTATTTTAACAGTGATAAGGATAGTACAAAATTGTTAAAATATATAAATGATATCGGCAAGAAAATCACAAGAAATGATGAACTGCAATCTGTGAGTAAAGCTTTCATAATATATCAATTTAAATTAAATAAAATAAATTTTTTTTAATGATAATATATTGCTATTAAATTTTAAATAACATTTCTTTTTTGAATGAAAAAATATAAATACTTATTAAATTTATATATTTTCTTTATAGATGGAAAATTTTGTCAAAATATATAGTGAATCATTAGACAAGAGTGCATTAGATTCTGCAACTAATTCAGCTAAAGAGAATATTGCATGGACAAAACAGAACAAAGATGTCATTGGCGAAATTCTTATTCAGAAAACTCAGAAAAACAGTGCATCTGCCTTGAAGTTTGCAACACTTTTCTGTTTAATTCCAGTTTTTATCGCCTTATTCATTTAAATATCTAAATTTTATTTTGTCGTTGAAATTTAGTTTAATTATTTTATTCCCACGCCGTATTAAAATTACTTAAATTTTATTCACTATCAGTCATTGATAGTAAATTGTTTCTACACTGTTAATATTTTGTGTTTTAAATAAAAAAATAATTTCTATCAAGGGTTAATAAGAATAATTTACAAAATAAACAAACAGATTTCCTAAAGTATTGTTAAAATTACAGATAGAAGTAATAAAGAAACCCTTATAGTTCATTTCTACTTTAAAAATAAGTTTTTAATAAAAAAATTAAAGTAAAATGCTTTTCAAAAAATAATAAATGTTTTAATTAACTAACAATATAGTAAACACGTTTTGCACTTTTAAAAAAATAATTAGTAGTCGAAGTTATTAATTTGTTACAAAAATTGGGTAAATATTTGTTACAAAATGAAATTTGAAGAATAACAGTTGCAATTTATTAAAACAACAGACGTAATGTGTGATTTTAATTTAGATCAAAAGGAATTTTTACACTGAAACGTTATCGCAAGCCACGGTGGGTCCGAACTAAGTTCAACCCACAGGTCGAGGCACTTCAAATTTTTTTATTAATTTCTATTCTATTATGTCTCCTGAGTAATTTTAGACCAAAAATAAAAAAATCGTTAGACCAGTTTTTAAGAAAAATAATTATTTGTATTTTTTATGCTATAAACACATCTACTCCACAATATAACTTACTTTTTTAATTCCCAAAAGTCTATTTCTAAAGTATCTACTATAAAATTCGATTAATGTAAAACAAAAGGCTTCTGGAAATCAGGGAAATCATGGAAAAGGCCTGGAATTTTTAAAAGTTTCTAAATTTTTTCTGTTTTCTATTTTTTCTCTTGAATAGAAATTCAAATAATAATAAAGCTAAATGGCATAAATGAGAAGAAAAAATGTTGAATTTTAAAAAATTCGATTTTTCGGATTTTTAATAATTTTTAATAACTTTTGATTTTTTACCAAAGGGTGGAGACTATTAAATAAGTAAAGTATTTTCCAAGAGCCCAAAAATAATAAAGCTTAATCCCATAAAAGAGAGGAAAAAATTTTGAATTTTAAGAAATTCGGATTTTTAAATTTTTGATAATTTTCGATAATTTTAGATTTTTTACCAAAGAGTCGAGACTATTAAATAAGTAAAGTGTTTTAAAGAGCCCAAAAATAATGAAATTAGATTTAAAATTCCACTAGAATTTCGTAAAAATTTGACCTGGAAATCATGGAAAAGGTATGGAATTTAAATTCGGATTTCTGTAGGAATCCTGGTTCATACCACTTTGTCATCTTCAAAAAAGCAAAAATTTTTTTATTACGGATTTCGAAAGTAAAATATGTCAAAAATGTGGTGTAAAATTTTTAGGAAGATCCCAGCACTCAAAATATATTTTTTCAGTGCTATTTGAGCACGTACAAGGCTATGTAAGTATACAACACAAACTTTAAACGCGTTTTTCTTAAAAACCACATCTTCCCATGCTGCTCACAGTGGGGCAAAAAACACGGCCTTGGACAAAACCACTTAGAGGCCGCAATTTTTAACCAAATTTAACAAAATTTTGTTTTAATTAAAGCTAATTAAATTGCGCATCGATTCCTTGAGGCCGATTTTTAATAAATAATATCTGAAATTTTTTATTTGTTAATAAAAATTAAAAAAAAAAATTTCAAACAACAAGGGCTAATTTTTGTAAAATTCACTATATTTATTAGTAAACTAACTTAATTAATTAAGAAACTTCTCCTGAAAATTTTCCAAAAATAGAAAGTTAATTAAACAAATTTTCTTATTTGTTATAAACAATTTAATGCAGAAAAACTTTTTTATGCAAATTTTTTATATTTTATTGTTTCCAAGTAATATTTATTTCTTACAAAGTATATTTAATAAGAAAACTTATTAAAATACTAAAAATTAATAATAATTTGATATTATTTATTAACTTTTGTCATAAAATTCTTCTAGAAATATTTTGTAAAAGGAATGAGCACTTTATGTGACAAATTAACAAAGTGATACATTTGTTAATTAATATTATTTAAACAATAAGGTTCTGAATTGTTACCAAATAACTAGGGGAGAGGTACGCACGTTGAGACGGGTTCTGTTTTTCAGTTATAATTTTTAAAAAACAAAATTTAGCGAAAAATTCGAAATGCTTTCTTAAAAGTATTGTCCAGGGCTACAACATTGCCAAAGAAAGTTATTTTTTTGGACAAAATTGAAAAATTTATAGCTGATTTTTTAAACATGTTATTTTTGACCAAAAAAAAAGTGGTACGCACGTTGAGACACCCATAGTAATTTATTTTAAATTGAAACAAAATGAATAATTACGTCAGATTCTAATTGTTTGTTGTTTATTTACTTATTTTGATGGTCTTAGCTCAAAGAAAAAAAATTAAAACATTAAAAATTAACTTAAAAAAATAATCAAAAAATAAAATTTTATTTTGCACAAAAATAATTAATCGAAATTTTTATATTCGCAATTTTTACAGGTGAAGAACATGTAAAACGCTTTAAAATTGTGGATTCAAAATCAATTTTAATGACAGTACTATTTTCACACCGTGAGCGTTTTAACCTGCGTACCCACAGTGTGTCTCAACGTGCAGACCTTGCCGATATTTTTTTAAAGCTTTGAAATTATTTGTAGATGTTAACGTATGTCTAAATTTTTGTCGGAACTTTAAACTAGAACCAAAATTGATATCCCTATATTAAAGAACCAGTTGAGACCAGTAGAAATTGAACATGGATCTACTGGTGTCAACTTGCTTTCCAAATTGAAAAACTTTTCCGTGTAGGAATTCTATTGGTTTTAACTTGGAAATCCTATTTATGTAACTGAAACGGATATCCAAGATAAAATTAAAATGGTTCTATCTTGGATTGTCCTCTTCAATTTTTGTTTCGACTTGTTTTAACATGGATTTCCAATGTTATCATTTCTACTTGTATTTCCAAGTTCGCACGTACTACAAGTATCAGCTTGCATTTCCAAATATAAAAATTAAGTTCAAGTATCTACTTGGTTCAATTTGGATTCTCGAATACTACATTTCACTTGTCCTGTCAAATTAAAAATCAACAAGCTTGAGTTTAGAATTTCCAACTCCAAATTTATATAGCACAGTGAAGGATTAATGTCATCTTGGTTTAATTTGAATCGGGGATGCATTCTATTTGGAATTTCAAGTTCAAATTTAAAGAGTTTGATTAATCGCGAATTGGAATTCATTAAATTGTCATTTTCGCCAATTGTTATTTTTGCAAAGAATTATTATTGCAAATTTACATTTTTACAAATATTTATTTTAGTTTACTGTTATTTTGCAAATTTGTTATTTTTGCAAACTTGCATTCTTCGCAATTGAAAGTTTTACAAATTGTTAGATATACTTTTGCTAATTGTTATTTTTTGCGAAACTGCTTTGTTGTGTATCATTATTTCTGCTAATTGTTGTTTTGCTAATTTTATTTTTGCGAATTTGCATTTCTCGAATTGATATTTTTATGAATTTGTTACTGTTGCTATTTGTAATTCTGTGAATTTTGAAATTTTATGAAAATTTGTAGTTCACAACAAAACAATAAAACACTTTTAACCGTTTTTTTGAAATTTTAAATTTTTGTTATATTTTTTGCATTAACAAAATATTACAAAATTTAAAAAAAATTAACAACTCAAAAGCCGTTTACAATAAATTAATGAAACTTACACTATTTACACAACATTGTTTACACTCTTTTAATAGAAAATATTTGCATGATTGTAAATTTAAAAATTCATTATTTTTAATAACAATTTTATAAACAATTTTAATTATTTATGTGTTCGACCGCTCCTGTTGCAATGAAACTCATAGGAAGTATACTCAGTAGTCTCTTCTTGAAACCCCCCAAAAAAAATTTTGGTATTCATAAAAGTTTTAACATTTTAGAAAATCAATGAAATTTTTTTAACACAGTTGAGCTGGTCTGGCATAGTCATTTTGGGAATTTTAATTTTTACGAATTTTCAGTTTTTTATTTCGCTTAATGTTATTTTTTGCAAAAAATTACAAAGCGGTCAAATGACATTTGAGTAAAAATGTATTAAATATTTAATTAAAATTTTTTACATAATAGCATATATTTGCAAATCTCTATAAATATTTTAATTTCTGCTTGTATTTTTATAGGTACTTACAAAAATTATAATATTTTACATAAACTTACGTTTTTCAAAGTTGCAGTTTATATAGACAGGTCGAAAAATATTTCTCACGTCGATTCGGTAGCCGCGGTCGTTAAGCGTTTAGATAGATAGGTCATACGTACGGGGTTCGATTCCCATAGGGTTCAAGTTTTAATTTAATTCTTCCAGTTTAATTAAAATGTTTGTATGTTTGGAGCGTGCTAAGAATATAAAGTTATTAATGGTCATAAGAATTTTTTATTATTTTTTCCACAAATATTTTTTTTCAAAACTATCTGTTCAATTGTAACCACCTTGGATTTCCAATTGTGAATCGATATCCAAGTTGAAACAAGTTCATGTTGTACAATGTAACCTATTTGGAATTTCCGGTTGACTGTAATGTTCAAACTGAGACCAGTTCATTTTGAACTTGACATTCCAAATTCAAACCAGCTGAAAATACTTATCTACTGGTTTGAAATTGGAACTTACGTGACAATAACCAACTTAAAGCAAGTAGGCTCCTGATTCTACCCGGTTCTACTGGTTCTTTAATATAGGGATGTAAGTGTTATCCGCAATTTTTTCTGCCACTAAAAAATACATGGTAAATACACTAAACAGAAATTCTGAAAAAAACTTTTTTTAACTAAAAAATTGGTTCGCTCTAGTTCTACCGAAAAAAACAGGAGTTATTGCGCTTTTTTGAATAAAAAGTTTGGTATTAATGATACGACAAAATGCCAATAAAATTTTTGGTATAATCAGTTACACAGGTTATAATATCTTAGTGTCTCAACGTGCGGACCGTCTCAACGTGCGTACCTCTCCCCTACGTATAAAAGTACTTCACTTATATCAGATTAAATTGATTTTTAATTTCATGGAAATAGTTTTGCAAAAACTCATTATGAAAGAAATGAATAATATCTGGTATTTATT